TCATCTAGGTTCGGTTCTTCAAAATGTGGTTGAAATATTCCTGTTTCAAAACAGTATATCAGTATGTAATACAAGTGTTTCAAGTATCAAGACAGCTTTAGTTATACCAATGCCATTGCCTTGTATTTGTACCGTCCTTATTTATCTGATAATCGTGACAATCTACAAGAGACAAAATACTCGCCCGGGTTCTTCAAGCAACACTTTTACAGAACAGATGACGATTAAGGCTCTAATAACACTTAGTCTAGTGATATCGATCGTACTCATTGCTAACCTACCAAGTTGCATTATTGCACTTTATTCGGAGTTGTTTAGCCGTACAGAAAACATCAGTCAATGGATATTTTACTGTTACACATTAGTAATTATTAATCCCCTATTAGATCCAATAATTTATGTTATGAGTCCTGACGATTTTCGTGACCACATTGCAAAGGTTCTCCGTAGAAAACACGATTCGCCAATTGAATCGAGAAGTGGCAGCACAAATGTAACTTTTGATTTCAGCATATGAATGAGGATATAAATGGATCGTTCAGAAAAGTAATTTCAAACGAGGTATGGTCAATTTCTCCTAACACATACAGAGGATCATAGAAATTGCTAATCATCCGACTCATCAATGAAGAAGTTATGAAAACTAAGACATCAATATAAAAAAACCCAGCCTGGATAGCTATATACAAGAACAAAATATGGTTTATTCATATCTTCGCAGACTTTCTCGGTTATATATGCAATGGATTTGATAGTGATAAGCTTTAGACACATCTTTTTCTACTGTTCCTTTTTCCATTTTGCAATGTGTATTTCGAAGTCCGTTTAAAATTAATCATTTTTCCATTATCAATATAAATAATCTATAGTCAATTTTAATAAGTCTCTGTTTTTTAACAACACTGTCTGTTTTAAATACCATATCAATGTTTGTATCGGTTATATGTGTTCTTGTCCCATTATATTTTTCGGATCGTAGTTTCTAATATATTCGTACAAATATCTGGGCATATTATCTACAAACGTTTTACTCTTTCTCTAGCATCTATTTACTCACCTTGCACCGTTTTTTGTTCATCCATTAATCATTTATATCAAACAGGCGCAAACCATGATTTTAATGTGTATTATTCATGTGATCGTTGACCGTGCACTGATCTACTCACTATTAGTGTACAATTAGAGCACCTGTGGCCGAGAGATCTAATAAGTTTAACTAGCACTATTAGCCTGTGAACACAGAGGTTATGAGTTCGAACGGTTCATATTCTTTGCATTTGTAAATAACTAGTTACATTTGTATTCATAAAAAAAAATCATTAAAGATACCTTATACTGTGGATTCATTTATTTTCGTGGGTACCAATTTTCGTGGATTAGGGAAAATTGGCATGTTCGTGGATATTTAATTTCGTGGTTTTACCGAAAGTCTGCGTACAAGCCTATACAAAATATGTCATTCGTTGAACATTTAATTTCGTGGTTCACTTGTACCCACGAAATCCACGAAAATTGGTATCCAACGAATAATAATGAATCCACAGTATCTAAATTTTGTTTTTCCTTTTCATAATGCGTATCTCTGACACTGTAGAAATAAGAAGATGTGGCATGAGTGCCAATGAGACAACTCTCCAACCAAGTCACAATGCGTAAAAAGTAAACAATTATAGGTCCAAGTACGGCCTTCAACACGGAGCCTAGCCTCACACCGAACAGCAAGCTATAAAGGGCCCCAACATGACTGAATGTATCTAGATATTGAAATTATCATAACAAATAAAGTCTGTATTGGTTTAAACATTTTTAATTATATATATATATAGATTATTAGTTTAAATTGAATGAAATTAGTGTTTACTTTTTTGAGACATTAGTACAAAATGTTATTATCAACTAAACTGTAACCCCAACACCAATAAATAGATTGTTGATATATTATGCTATTTCTACATATGCTGAATTTACGTTTAATCTTAATCTGCCAAATTTACGAGAAGAATGATTTTAAATATATTCTTTAAAAACATTACCTCAATGTACTAATCGAATGATAATTTCTCAATCGGCGATTCCGCTGAAGTCCAAATTCTATCATTTTACTAATTTTGCAAAACAATATATCTACAATATACCTTAGTTGAACGGTATGATAGATATAATCAAAATCTTGCAAACCGAATGGCATTCCTGAAAAAAATAATCGACAAACAGAACTTCGCATAAATCAGTTCAGTTTACGAGTAATATGTTTCCCGCTACATCATTGTAAGCAACATAGATATGAAATAGTATCCAAAATGCATGCCTGACATGAAAAGAAATACAAGCCGGAACTCTTTGGTCCTACCAACACTTCAGAAATAGGAGATTCTTTAAAATCTTTAAAACTGTACATCTTTTTCTAGTAATTGGTCTGCAAAAAAGTATTTTCCAGGGAAGACAATGACATCGAATTCATTGCATGCCAACATGGTTTGGCTACTAAGACTTCGAGGTAATAATTGAATGACAATCACAAAAAGTCACATTAAACTTCATCTCTGAGGTTAATATTTTATTCTAAAAATAGACTGAAATTGTCCATTGTTTCACCCCAATGCTCAACCATCCGGATTATTCCAACCATTCCAACATCAGATTAGCATGCTTACTGTAACATGTCAGCATTCATTACATTGTCAGGACTTAACTTATTTACATAATATTCCAATTACTTGGAAACGTGTGATTTCGGGGTGAATAAATTGTGAGGCTTATTGTACATGTTCAACAGTTGTATACAGAAAAAAACAAAACAAGACATTAATTTAAAAAGAAGTAAAGTCAATTTTATCTTGATTTGTTTTACGCAAAGACATTTTGAATTTACCTTGGAATTCGGTTTTTGTGTTATACTTTTTCACCATTACGATTAATAGTTGAAGCACACAAAATATCAAGTTGGAAAGATAACGAACGAAAAACAAATGATAATCCAAAATAAAGGAAACACATAAATAAACGTATAGAAAACGTTAAAAAGAACATCATATTATTTATTTTGTTTGTGAAAATGTTGAAATCGTACAATCGTATAACTATTTATATATATGTTTATTATCTGTCTTCCCTGTGGAATAACACACATTTTTATTTAGTTCATAGAAAAAAACTGATCTCACAAGTATATAATTGCTGTGTGTTTGTTTATTCCACATTTGCTAGAGGTATAGGTGGAGTGTTGAGATTTCACAAAACATGGTAAACCCCGCCCAAGTCAGGAGCCCTCGGCTTTCTTAGTCTTGTGCGTTTTTTTTTAATTGTTGTTCATTTGTATGTTTCAGAGTTAATTGTGGCGTCCGTTTCGCTGAACTGGTATGCCTTATTGTTTAAGGGCCAGCTTAAACCGGACTCCGGGTGTAGGATTTTCTCACTGTATAAAAGACCCATTGATGGCCTTGGGCTATTTTTCTGCTCTTTGTTTGGGTTGTTGTCTCTTTGACAAATTACCCGTTTCCGTTGTATATTGTAATACTTATTGTATCAATGTATTTAGTGGTCCTTTTTTTTTTCCCAACACAACCAACAAATAATTAGCTTTTTTCCAAAACAACCAACAAACAATTAGCTTTTTTCGTTGTCTCGTTGGTTTCTTTCTCCGTTTCTTTGCACTAACATTATTATTAACATGATATTATTATCTTTTGTAACTGTGTGTGTTTTCTTTATTTACTATAAAATATGAATAAAGTTAATTGCGGGATAAACTTCAATGGAACAGTCACTAAACGACAATGGTCATACATCTTTTCAACTTGTGAAAGGTACATGTATATTGATTCATATTCAAGCAAAAAGAAGTAATTCTTGGTGCATTTTGTTATTTATAAAGGCAGCAATATTTAGCAACATTGATTTTGTCCCTTTATCGTTTGCATGCAGTTATATCCCTTGCTCCTATTTGAACGTGTTAATTTGATTTGAACAGTATACAAGACTGAACAATCGATCATAAAGTAATTTATAGACCTTTAATCAATTTTCAGACTTAATTATGTTAATCACGACGGCGAATTTAGTACTCTTGAGGCAATTCGCTTTCAGTGTACAGTACAAAAAAGGTATGAATTCAGCTTTCCAATTCTTAACTTTCCATTTCTAGGTATCAACATTTCAGCTGCGCATTCATAAGGAGTATACATCTCCATGATCCTATTATATTCAAGAGCTTGCGTTTCTTATCCTGATTTTTTTTATAGAAGGTTTCTGCTTAGATGGACGCTTTTGAACTAAGGATTCAAAAAGTAAAATTACAAAAACACCAAACTCCTAGGAAAATTGAAAAGGGAATTCCTTATCAAATGGCAAAATCAAAAGCACACACACATCAAGTAAAACTCAAAACGGAAATTTCTTTATCAAATGGCAAAATCCAAAGCTCAAACACATCAATTGAATGAACAACAACCGTCATATTCCTGACTTGGTATAGGTTTTTTCTTATGTAGAAAATGGTGAATTAAACCTGGTTTTATAGTGGTTAATTTGAAGTCGTTTCTTCGAAAGTTTTTTCGGATTTTATCACGAATTGGTTGACCGTTAAGAAATATATGTGTCACAGATATCAATGGATTTTTTTCAAATTGTCGTTATCACATTCCCGTTTTTTGTCTACGATTTGGATAGCACATAATGTGTCTCGTCATCAATGTCTTACCTACAATTAGAAATATCTGCCTTCCCTTTCAGAGAATCTGATACACAGGTACAATAGTAACGGAGTAACGGATGTAGTACTTTACGTCGGTAAAACATCAATATTGCGGAATCCAACCACAAGAATATATTTCCCAAAATATAGCATTTTGTACCAGAAAAGTTTATGCGGTAATTGTATTGTACAGAAATCATTTTTGTTTTCATTGTAAATTTTGAATTGCACATCATAACTCATTTGTGTGCTTCATTAAATTTCATTCCCTACTTTTCATAAAAAAACAAATTTAAATAGCATATCATACTTTTTAGATGTATTTAATTAAAAGTGCATCCTGATACAATATACATAATATAACACCACAATTACAATTCAATACATCAGCAATAGTATATTATATAAGCAAGCTTTAAGAGGCATAAGAAACACTAACATTATTCTTACAAGTATATAAACATACAAAGAAAATATCAACTATAAATTAATCTTTCTGAAATCTGATGTTAACATAATTTGTTAAAACAGCTGATATTTTCTTTTTCTTTTTTTTGGTCATTGTTCTATTATATCATTGCATAAATGGCAGTTTTTAGTGAATAACGAGCAATTCTCATTTAAAAGAAGAAATGTATGTGACGTCTACGTATACATATAGTACTTGCAACCTTAGGCGTTACTGTTTGACGAGAATTTGACTGATCGGTGAATGATCGGTGACGGATGTTTGACTGATCGATGAATGATTGGTGATCGATGACACATAGAATCCGCCAGATACGTAAAATAAGCTATATGAGAGTAACCGTGAGAACGGTCAACGATCGATCAGTAAATTATTTATATGCACGAATCGGACGTATACATACATAATTAAACTTCTTATGTAAAACGAACTCCACAGTATTTACATTCGATAAACACGAATGTTATTTTTATGAACAAAATTTGATTTTGGTACTTTTTGTATATCAGTATTGGTTGTTTTTTCATAAAATATGCTGAATTTCAGGGAAAAGATACTGAAATTTTGTTCGCATTGCCTAAAATTTCAAATATTTCTTCTTTAATATCAGAACAAATGCAATGTCATTTGCGATCAGTCATTATAAATGCTTTTAGATAAGTAATTTTGTATAAGATGTGAATAATACAAGGACAAAGAAACTTAAACTTTTGTTTATGTTGAATAAGCAATGCAATTATTTCTTTATTTAAAAGGAAATCATGAACCGCTAATTGTTTTTGTTGGATAAGAAGGGAATTGTTTCTTCATTTTAATTGAAATCATGAACCGCTATTGGAATCTAGTACTTTTTAACATCAGGATTGGTTGTTATTTACAGATAATGACCAATATTAGAGAAAAGATGATATAGGTTGCACTTTGTTTCTTTGTTTACAGCTGTTTCACGAGCCACGCCTCTTTTGGGGAGATATCTAATATTCATATAATTATATGTTAATTTGTTAACGTACTGCTTCCCAAATATGATCTCTGTGTTTCATCTCAAAGAGGCATCACTTGTAAATGTTACCAGTATAGAAAAACATGGTAGCTCCTAAAATTTAATTCTTAGGAGGTCCAAAAGTGGAGGTAGGGGTAGTATAGAATTTTAGTATAAGTTTAAAGTTCAGGGCATGATGTTGACAATATGCCGCACAGCCCTATATTTTGACCTTTGAATAAAATAGTAGTGCATATCAACTTTCCATTCTGGGATATGATTTTTCACGAAACTTCATAGTAAAAGTGGCTGTTTTAGCCGCAAAGGGAGTTCCTATGGAAAATTGCATTGTCTATATTTACAGAATTGCAACCTAAAATTGTGTTCGCATTGTTTTAATATGCCAATATTTCTTCTTTTTATCCAAAATAATGCAATGCTATTTGCAATCAATCATTATAAATGCCTCTAAATAAATTTGTTTTATAGAATGTGAATAATATAAGGATAAAAATGCATTAACTTTTGTTTTTGTTGAATAAGAATGCAATATTTTGTTTTTATCTTAATGGGAATTATTGACCACCATTGCATTTTTGTACTTTTTATACATCAGGATGGGTTGTTTGCATAATAGGGAAGCATATAAGAGAAAAGATACCAACATTGTGCTTGCCTTGTTTGATAATGCCCATATTTTATTTTACTTAAAAATAGTGCACTGTTGTTTGCAATCAGTTATTCTAAATGGCTTTGGATATACGTCATTGTTTATACTTTTTATGTAGAAACTAATTCGAATAAGATCCAAATGACAAAATAAATTGCTGTCAATAATGCTTTTTTTGACGTGTGTCAATCTAAGGTAAATTACTTAATAAAAAACGTTTTGAAGTGGGAAGGATTTAAAACAATCTAATTAAGAAACTATTTAAAGATAATCAACCAGTAATACCCTTACATGCTCACGGAGCACATGTGATCATCCTTGGTTTTTGATGGGGTTTGTGTTTAGTATTTAGTATTTAATTTAAGTTTTTTTGTAGACCGCTGTTTGTCATTAGGTCGTTTTCTCGTTTGGTTTTTTTTTTTGCAGTTTGTTTCCGATTAAAGGGTTTGACTATATCTTAAGTATCTTCTGTCTCTTTTCATAAACTTATAAATTGCTACATTTAGAAATGATTTCCCGTTACAGAACTTTTCTTGTGAGAAAAAAAGGCGTTTTTGACTTAAAGCAAATCATCATACGTCAATTGTATTTCAGAGAATATAGAACCAACTGCTATCTTTTCTTTTAGCATCACTCAAAGATCTTCCGTATCTAACCATGTATTCTGGTGTTGACATAATCTTCATTCCAGGATGTCTCCAGTCCCAGGCACCTCCTTTTTTTAGAGCCTTTAACACAACATCACAACAGTTGTGGGATATCAAGTTGTAACCGTAGCCCTCTATTTTGTAATTACTCCACCACTTACTTATAGCTAAAGTATTGACTTTTTCACTTGAAATATGAAACCTGTGGGTAGCATAACGACCCATTTCTTCTACATCTTCTTCGTAATTATCAGGAAGATGTCCTTGAGCATTTACCTACAATATCTTGGAAAATGTATACTTTGTTTTTGTAATGATATTTTACGCACAGAAACGGGTTATATTAGTTAAGATAAAGTTACTCACCCTTCTAAGGCAAACCAGTTCATGTATTTGTGTTGCTTGAAATTAAGTTTTCAATGTGCTTTCTATTCTACGATTTAGATAAACGTATCTAAAACTTTTGTAATCCCTTGCGTTCCTTACTTTAAAAAACACAACGTTTTCAGACAGCATTCTTGATTACTAACTTTGATAGTCAAAAAGCAAACAAAATATCTAGTTTAAGATGATATCACCAGTAAACCAAATTTGATCTGAAACGGTAATTTTGATCTAAACTACTCTTAAAAGACAACATTTGATCAGATATGTTCAGTTTTTCAGTCGATATACAAATCAATACACTGCAGTAAATTCAATACTGACAATTTGCCTTTCTGTCAATTAAAGGGAAACCTCGCCAAAAAATAAAAAAATGATATTATGTCCATTCTGTATAAAAAAGCACAAATTCATAAATATTAAAGTTTTATTCTGCTAGATAAGAGATCGCCATCGATTTTAAATTTAGAGTATCAATTCTCTGCGTGCGGCCATTTTGACATCTTCTCGGTTTAGAAACCCCGATATATCTATAAACCACAAAGGACCAAAACCAGCAGTAACCTAACGTAGTCGCATTTATCCGACTAACTAACTTGATACGGAAAATGTAATTATTTTTTTAAATAACTATGGTCTGTCGTTTTAAAACTGTTTTTTCTTTACGAAGTTTTTGGAACAAGAAATTTATATGGGAATAAGTTAAAAAGTCAAAGTTCAAAGTCATAAATAAGTGTTCCGTGTAAAATCGTTTTCGAAAATCTAATTTGTTCATAATTCTTTTATGTAATAAACTTATTTAAATAAATTCGGACCTTCTCTTATCTGATCACCAGCATGGCTAAAGGAATTATTCCCTGAGGTATTGTGAGGTGACACGTCCAGGTATTCAAGCGATTTCCTGTCGGGTTTAAAAACTCTTATTACACAATTACATAAAGCATGTCCATGCATCGCTTCACTTCTGAGGGTATTGATCAGTGTACACGGCCGATAACTTGTAACTTTCCATTTTAAAACTATCAGGTGTAATATACATCTTTGTCTTACGTGTCCGATAGTGATATACTAGTCATTACTAAACTCATACGCTTGTTTATAAATAACATTTCTAGTGTAAAGAATGATATTTATGAAAATCTAAATAATTCCAAAAAAAGATTTGATAAAATAAAAATCTATTTACATATTTTTCCAAGGGTAAATTGGGGAAAATGTAAGTATATACTCGTTGTCAATAATGATGGACATTTTGAAACATGAAAAACTATTGATTTAAAAAATACGCACTTGTCGATCATTGGTTTATACGCCTAGATAGAAAGTTACGAAACTATAGATAGTCGCAATTTAAAATTGTATATTGAATATAAGAAAGAACATCTAGAACCAATTTGATTTAAATACAGGTCGATATCTAACTTGCTTTGGTTCATCGAAGTTATGGACATAATAAAATCACAGATTTATATTTCAATTAGATTGTTCTCGAACAGTTGAAGAAATTCGTCATCATCACAATTGTTGGGTATAATGTATATTAATGTGAACATGGTTCTAATAGAACCTTATGCCAATTTTCCTGTTCCGACATGCATGTAATATATATGCCACTGGACGTACAATAATGATCCCCAAAAGTTTATTTGAAGAAATAAAGAAACTTCACTCCGGATAGACTGATAGTAGTTGTATTAACGTCTGCTCAGCTTGAGGGTTGATTAATTTATTACGTTAGCTTGTGGGGGAATAAACCATTCCCACTATTGCACTTATGCATAAAATATTAAATAAGAGTAATATAAGAGAAAATATAAATACGAAAAGTCGCATATCTGGTAAAAAAAAAAGTCTCACCAACTATAGGATTTCACGTACAATTGTCATTATGATCGAACTAACGGACAGTCATTAAAATACATGCATGTACGCTTTGATAAAAAGGGGTGCCGCAGTTGCATATTATTCATCATAAATCTATTTCAAGTTTATACTTTCCTGTTATTCTTATCAGTTAACGCAGAGACATGTAACTATACATCTCTAGTTAACGACAATCAACTATATAAATATCTGAATCTGATGTGACTTGCCGTTCATCTCTAGTGGTTCATCTCTTTCTTTTTTTTTTTCTTCTTTTTTTTTTTTTATTTGGGCAGGAACATAAACATTGTTAGATATAATGTAACCAGGTTTGAGGGGGTGGGGGTTGGAGGTCAAGTCTATCGAAAGTTACAAAATAAGAACGTTGTATTTATGAATTTACAAGAAGAATTCTGTTCTTGAACGTTGTTTTCTCCTTTCTTTTTTTTTTTAGTTCAGTGATTTAAATTGAGAAAAAATCTAGTCAGAATTTAAATCGTTCCGACAATCCCCCACCTAATACTCCTCTAAAATCATGAATGGTCATGCTTCACAATCATCAGAATTTACTTTGCATTGGTACATTCTGTATCGGTAGTGATTAACCTTGACATTTCCGGGTATAACAGAGCTACTTGTATATTACCTGTATGTGGTTAGGTACATCATCCCATGAGGTCTTACGTATACAGGTTCACATTTATAATGGTTTCTGATATAACAAGGTTTTATGACATTCACACTTCTGCATGTTCTGTATACCAGTTTCTTATCTTATTTTCAGACCGAATGAGGATGTGATTATTTTCCAGGAAAAATATTGAGTATCAAAGTATCAAATTAATTTCGGGATTTTTTTCTTTCTTGGTATTAAATCACAGAAATTTAAAGATAATACTGCTTATAGATATAAGAAGATGTGGTATGAGTGCAAATGAGACAACTCTCCATCCAAGTCACAATTTATAAAAGAAAACCATTATAGGTCAAAGTACGGTCTTCAACACGGAGCCTTGGCTCACACCGAACAGCATTAAGCTATAAAGGGCCCCAACAAATTGAACATTGATTCCGCCGGTTTGTCTCCATTCAATAAAGGCAAGTTGACGTTAGATTGATTCTGTAAAAAATTTTAAACATCGTTGGTCAAATAGCTAAAGTATTTGTTGTGAGATGTAGAATATTTTAATAAGGACATTCCCGATTAGTTAAATGTAGATCGCTTTGGACGGACCAAACTATATCAATGTAACTGATAATTTTCTCTGCACATTTAAATATTCAAGGTTACCGATGATAATTCAAAATAGCACAGTTTTTGGTTTATACGCTCGTTTTCGTGGGCCGTTTTTATTTATAAAATTATTTCATTGAAAGTTATTCAGAATTCCGATGTTACAACAAAGTACTCACCCATCTATTTAAAAACTGAGCTAACGCAAAATATAAAAAATAAATATAACGGCGATTCAGGTATTTTGCCACCATATTCCTCCCCAAATAATTATTTTTTTCTGTCTCAAACCCACATTTCTCTTTTATCATTTTTTTTTTATGTTTTTCAAACCGGAAAATAATTTTTGTTCTTAATTATTCGATCTCATTCCAATAAGACAAAGTTAACCTTAAATTTCCTATCAACTTTTTAATTATCTTTTTTCAAATGGCTGAAGTATTTATACGTTGTGAGATTTAAAATATTTTGATAAGGACATTAATTCCTGAATATGTAAATAAAGATCGCTTTGGACGGATCAAATTATATAATTACAATTGGTAATTATCTATTTCAAATATTCAAGGTTACCGATTCTAATTTAAAATAGTACAATTTTTAGTTCATACACTCGTGTTTAGAATGCCATTAATATTTATTCAATTAAATTAATTCAGTATTTCATTGTTACAAAAATATTCAGCAGTCATAATTCATTTTAAACTGAGCTTACGGAAAATATAAAAATATACCACGGCTATCCAGTTATTGTGCCACCATACTACTCCCTCAAAATAATTATATTTCTTTTTTTATTTTCTGTCTCAAACTATCACTCCCGTTTATCATTCATACGAAATGATGTTCACACCTGGAACGGTGAACCGTGACGGCTAAAATTCACTGAGTGAAGATCAAAAGATTAGAATTACAGAATGCAAACCTTTAAATACCTTGAATTTAACCACGCATTCAACAGGTAGTCACTAAGTGTCACAGTACAATACACATTGTATTTACACGGTACTAGCGGAAAATGTTTGCTATACTGAAGTAAAAGGTGAGAATACAAACATGCATTTTTAATACACTATCAGTTAAATTTGTTTGTTGAAAATATCCGTCGGAAAAAAAATTCTATTGTATGATTTACTTTTATTACTATAATGACTATGATCATATCAGAAATCCTTAACATATAAATCGTACATTTTATTTTTAAAAGTTGCACGGCTGATCACTTTACTTTCTTAATTATTAGTTGGTTAATAGCTACGCCAAAAGTCGTCGATGCGCTTTAAATCGCGTTATTAGATGATTAACGAACAAGACTTAAATGAGATTAATTCCACTCCCGGCATGCAAAAAGACTTAAACTACGTCACAGAAGTCAGGAAGTTCGAATAAATAAAATTAATAATTCCCAATTTTCTTCTTTATTAGTTTTCATATCCAGATAAAACTTGGTGAATATGTTTTTTATGGTATTATGAACATAATAAGATGATAAGTAAAAAATCGCGAATTTTCCCTTTAAGATCTGTTCAGTCTTTGTTCAGGCTGTTCAATCGTTGTTATTTACTTGTATACATCAACATGATCAACATCATACTAAATTGACTGAAAAGCCACTGAACAGTAATGAATTAGCTGCAAGCGAATTGTCTGAACAGTACTGGATTTAATGCAGAGGATAATTCTGACAATTGACGGAAATGCTGAGCACGACTGAATAGTTTAATGTTAATAGATATAAGAAGATGTGGTATGAGTGCCAATGAGACAACTCTCCATCCAAGTAAAAATTTATAAA